ATAATAATACTTGGGAAGATGTGTGCGCTGGGTAAGTGATTTTTTTTTATATAAAAGTATATAATATTATTTTGAATGAATTTATATAATATATAAAATATTTGTATTATAGATATTTTACATGGTTCCAAGAAGATGATAAATGGGAAACCATGAATAAAACTGAGTTTCCCGAGGAATATCTACCTGTTATAAACAGTACGATGGCGAAGGAACCTTGTATTCATAAATCGCTCTTAAAGATATGGCATAAGGACAGTAGAAATATCGATAAATTAACAAAGACCAGAATATTAGATGATGTTACCGCGACTCTGCAAAATACGTGAGTTGTTGGAATTATACACAGCAAAATCAATGAATTTGAATTGCGCAAACTTAAATAAAATATAAAATACAAATTACACATAGCGTATTATAAATTTTATAAAGACAGTTTTTATTTTTAAATGTGTGAAACACGTTTATTTTTCGAGAAGTTAGTTTGATATATATATAGATATATTTCTACATTGATTTAATTATACTTACACTTACTTTATTCTTTTTTTAAATTTCGATGAAATACACGCGTGATCACAATATAATATGGCTTTATGTTTCTTTTTGTATATATCTTTTTATTCCCTCTTTATGTGTTTATTCGCAGAAATACCAAGGACATATTATCTGACGTTGCGCCGTTACTAGGCGGTGTTGATTATGATCAAAACGGGAGAGTAAAGAGCGCGAACGCTACAATTCTATATTGGTTGCTGAAGAAGTCCAATCCGCAGTCACCAGAATGGGAGGTTGAGTTCATCGAGAGGGTATTGCACTCGAATCGTACCCTGCCGCCAGGTATGGAGATCTACGCGGTGACGCTACGTAGCTACCAAGACATGTTGCACGAAGTGGTCAACAGTAATATGACCGTGTTATTCTGCGGCATGTTACTGATCACGTTCTACGTAATTATGATGATTGGTCGGTGCAACGCGATGCAGCAACGAATATATTTATCCCTCATGGGTATTTCCGTGGTTGGCCAGGCTATCTTGTCGGCTTATGGGATATGCTACTATATGGGATTTTTCTACGGTTCAGTGCATCCGATCTTGCCATTTTTGCTACTTGGTATTGGCGTCGATGATATGTTCATCATCATGCAAAATCTTGAAACTATGTCAGAGACGGATAAGTCCTTGGACATCCCATCCCGTATAGCAAAATCTATTCAAGTTTCAGGTATGATAAAATTTTGTTTTGTTGTTTTTGACCAAAGAGATAATTTATGCTATACTTCTCGTGTTCATAAATGCATTTTGAATATATTTCAGAAACATTGAGAATATGTAGACGAATTAAAAATAAGAACATACGATACGTGTGTGAAGACACTATACTAATAGAATCGTCGAAATAAAAGCTTTTGAGATAATTTATATATATATATATATATATATATATATATATATAATGTCTCGACTAATAATTTACTTATCTTTATAGGTATGTCCATTACCGTGACATCATTTACCAACATGGTGGCCTTCGCCATCGGCATGACAACAGTGATGCCCTTTCTGAAATCCTTTTGTATATTTGCCGCAATGGGTATATTATTCCTCTACATCTACGAGATCACGTTCTTTGTCAGCTGTCTGGTATACGATGAAAGACGATTGGCGGCAAAAAAGGAGGGCTGTTGTTGCCAGCCGCGACCCAATTGGCAACCAAACAAATGCACCAAGCAAAACTTTCAGCGGTATATTTTCGAGAAATACGTCGGACCTTGTGTGATGAGAACGTCGATAAAGATTATCATCCTGTTAGTCACTGCTATCCTGCTAGGCGTTAACGTGTGGGCAATATTTCACTTGAACCAGAACTATGATCCGCTCGTCTATTTAAATCAGGAATCTTATCCTATACGATTTAATAACAAATTGATGAAATACTTTCCAAAGTATGGCAAGAATGTCAATATATACCTGACGGGTGTAGACTATTATCAAGATCGTCATGCATTGTCCCAGTTGGTGGACAGTCTCAAGCAAAATCCATATGTTAATAATCGTACTTTGGACCCGTGGTTTATAGTGTATCAGGAATGGCTCGACACTACTGGCAAAGGTAATATTTCTCACATAGCATATACATTTCCTAAATATAGAGTTTTCTTAATATGACATTATATATCTCATTTGCCAGGACATTATATCGAGAATAGAGACGAATATTATAATACTCTTACGGAATTTCTCCTATTTACGGTGAAAGGCCAAGCGTACATCCAAAATATGAAATTCAATAAGTTGCCGTTTAATGACTACAATATCACAGTACGTTAAAGAAAACAATACATTTTATAATCTATAAATGCAAAAAGTTTTCTCACGAGAAATGCTTTTAGACATCACAGATTCCAGTCCAACACATTCCCATAACTACGTCGTCCGATCAAACACGGGCTATGCAATCTGTCAGAGACGCCGTGAAATCGGTGAATTTTACTCAGGGATACGATTATATTGCAATTTATTCGTCGGATTATATATCATGGGCGTCGAACACGGTGAGAACTTTTTCTTTAGAATGTTTTCAAGTGTATTAATCCATAAATTAATTTATGTAACCGATTAATCGGTTTTACAGATCATCGGCGAAGAATTGATCAGGAATTTGAGTTTAGAGATAATGGCGGTAGGAATAGTAACATTGGTCCTACTTAGAAATCTACTTGCGTCGTTTTGGGTGATGTGCTGTGTACTGTTCACGCTCATCGATCTTCTAGGCTCGATGTACTTTCTGGGATTGACTATCGAAATATCATCAACCATTATGATCCTATTGTGCGCCGGACTGGCAGTTGATTATGCTGCACACATTGGTTTGGAATTTATACGTTCAAGCGGCAATAAACAAGGTCACTAGAAAATAACATTGTATTATATAATTGAATTTTCTAATTTTTTTTTGTTTACTGTATAAAAGAACACTTTTTATTCGATAAAATTTATCAAAGGTTCAGCAGAAAAAGTAGCTTTGCAACTATTGTAAGATTTTTTAATACAATTGATTAGAAATTTAAACAGATTATTACTGTTAAATTATTAAATAATACAGTTTAAACAAAATTGCAAATTATAACACATCTTGATAGTGATTAAGATCTCGTATGGAATATTGTATGATCTTTCAATAATACATAGCCTCAGAATATTGTTATAATTTCTCATCTTATTGTACTTGTAGAACGAGCACTAACGACGTTTAACGTTATTGGACCAGCAGTGTTTAATGGTGGATTAAGTACATTCCTTGCCTTTGTCCTGGTAGGTTTCAGCCAGGCTTATGTTTTCACAACTTTTTTCAAGGTATGAATACAACATTGAAAGTATAATTGTTATCAAAAAAACGGATATCACATATTTCATATCGTTTTAGTTGATTACGTCCGTAGTGACATTTGGTTTGTTTCATGGAATGTTATTTTTACCGGTAATATTAAGCTTGGCGGGACCAGGTGAAAGAAGGCAAGATAGTTCGAAAAAAAGCCAAGCTATGCAATATCAGAATGGTTATTATACCGTCCATCTATCCCAAAATGGAAAAGGTAGTACCTTTGACATTTTAATGTTACGAAACGCAATTTTTGACACAAACAAAAACAGATTTAATTTTTATTTTTCTTTTCTAGATACAGAAGATGCACTTGCTAAATGACGTTTAGCAATGCTACAAAAGGCTGCTTAGGTGAAAATATTTTTGTAGGTAATTGATAATAGCGCTAAAATTCGTATGATTGTGGAACGAATGTGCGCATATCACGTTGTAACGTTATATGCCTGTCTGCCTCTCTTTTTGGGTCTTTCCATTCTTTTATATACACACAAAAAATAGCTAAATAAAGATATCTTTCATACAAAAAGAACTTGGAAGTTATTTGCTTCGCCTGTTTGTGACTACTGTCCATTCATCATTCTCTTGTTCATTCTTATCTATGTCCATATCCTCATTTGAACTGCTGGATTGATGTTTCACTGACTGAGAACTAATAGGTTCAGATGGTTGTTCCGAGTACAACCATGACTGCAATGGTGGTAATTTTTCAAATTCCATTTTTGCTGTAGATTCATTGCCTTCCATGCAATATCGACGAAACCTTAACAATTCCTCTGCTACTTGCATAATGCTGTCGTCCTGTACTTCTGTGTTAAATTGATCATCCATATAATCGTCTAGTACAGATGCAATCTCGCTACTGATTAGTCCTTCTAGAAAAAACACAATGAAACTAATTCAGTATACATTATTGTATAACACTGTTATATGTTTTTAAAAAATAGCAAAAATAACCATTTATATACACTACTTCTGTCATATATGAACAAAATTCTCTTGCACATTCTACTGAACCCATATCATGTTCCACTGCCAACTATAAAAATAAATATATCATTTTATTATACAAATAATTTTTTAAATTTAATAATATATGTTCTTATGTTTAAAATAGAGACAGAATCTCTTTGTTTTTACTAAGCTCTATATATAATAAAAATATAAAGAACATTTTAGAATTTGATGAAAGAAACGGAATACTTATTAATATTTAGAAGAGATTTATTTTTAAAGTCTTATTGCTTTCTTATAAATAAGACTTTACGTACAATATAGGAAAAATTAAGAACGCGAGTAGATATTAAATATTAGAGAAATAAAAAATTAGGAATAAAAATTATACATAATGTACAATGAATACAAATAATAAGACATATCTTATTTGTATCCATTGCGTTGCTTAATCTCTATTTCTAATTTTTTTATTTCTCTGTTTATTCATGTCTCTAATATTTTTTCCACTGTGCCTAAAATTTGTTATAATTTGTTGTATCTCTGTTTCAAAATATGATATTGTTTTAGTATCACTAAGTGACTTCCCATCCTGTAAAGATTTAACATTTTGAAACACAAAAGATATCTACTTTTGAGAATTTAATGCGAAATTAAAGATTGAAAATCTACTTACTTTTAATGCTGTCCAATTACTGAATATACGTTGCGCGACTGTTAGAAAAAATGGCATAGTGTGCTCCATTTTAGGTTATACAATCGTGCTTAAACATATAGTCTTTCTTCGAATAGTCGAATAACCTCGAGGTTGCTCGAGATCTGCTAAGATTTTCTTTTTCTCTTTATAGCAGTCGTCTCAGGACAAATTAAGTATATATTCAGTAATAAACCTCTAAATTGTTTCCTGAAGCCACAAAAAACAAGCACTGTCTATAATATCACACTGCACTGACTGCACATTACGCACAACTACGGACTGTTGATTGTGCATTATAAAATTTGTGGACGTAAAGCAAATTGGATAAAGCAAATTCGGAATTTGGACTATGTCGAGCGCGTTTAAGTCCACGAAGCGAAGTCACATACTATAACGAGATGAAGAATCAAAGCATGATAAAAATACAAGGGTATGCTCATCAATTGTCTAAAACTCGTTCAGCTTGCGCATGTCCTTGCCTACGTCATATTCGGGTACGCGTTGATTGGTCGGTTCTGATTCGGGTGCAATCGGTGGTTATCGGTCGTAATTTATCATGGCGTCCATGGCGTAGTGCACGTTGTCATCGGTAGAAGTTAATGTTAAAAATATTTTCACGATGACCTGCATAGTGAAAGAATGCGGCAGTTATATGAAAAAAACAAAAAAAACTGAGGGAAGTAAAATTAAATATTTTACCTTTCCAAAACAATCTGAAATTGCTGAACAGTGGCGTAAGCCACTCGTTGTGACGTAAGCAAGGACAAAAATCTGATAGGTCATGCGCATGAGCATACCCTTGTCTTTTTATCATGAATCAAAGATCTGCCAAGCTGTGAGCTTGCCGAGCAATTGGTCTGTTCAATTTGTTTACACTTTCTACACATAAATGAGAAAGATATTAGGTCTGTTCGCATTGCTTTCACTTTTGGTACTCGACAATGTCACTTTCAATTACTACGTTTACACGGCACGCTTTACGCCAAAGTTATAACATCGATGTTATGAAACTGGCCAATCATAGCTATTCCTCCGAAGAATGGAATGACTGTGATTGGCCAGTTTCATAACATCGATGTTATAATTTCGGCGTGCTGTGTAAACGTAGTAAATGGCTGCGTTCAGCAAACCCAACAGTTTTGCAACAATTTTGTGATTCTTCGCTGAGATAGGACTATTCCTTTAAATCTAAAAGTATAATCCAATCAGCGCGACAAATCATAAAACGGTTGTAAGGTTCTCCGCACAATAAAAGGAACAGGAAACAGAGAACAGAGAATAAGAATTTCAACCTATCAGAAACTGCGTATTCCACAATACATGATCTCTGATAGATGGAAATTCTTATTCTCTGTTCTCTGTTCCCTATTCCTTTTATTGTACGGAGCTCCTAAAGCTGTCAAATAGCTGAGAAAAAGCGAAGATACTGAGTGCAGAGTGCAAGCGAAGATACTGAGTGCAGAGTGCAAGCGAAGCGAAGAAACTTATTTACTAACCAATCAGATTGGCTGAACAACAATTCATTAAGTCCGTTTCACACTATGGAGATTGTGAATTGAAGATTAGAATTCAACCAGTCGAAACAAAATAGATTAAAATTAAAATTATCTAACTGGTAAAATTCTAATTTCTAATTCACAATTCTCAGTCTCCAGTGCGTAATGTGACACAGATTTAAGTGATACGGTGATTTCGTCGGAGTTCGAGTTCCGCTTTAGGATCCCCAAAGGAAGCTGACATGATTGCTGTGTTGCTTAGTTAGAAATTAAAGCACCAACAGTCGATCTAAACGTTGTGCTATTTTTCCTGGCATTCAGTCAATAACAAAAATAAAACGACATCTGTGTCTTCTTGTCTGAAAGAAAACCTCCCGAATATCCACTTTTATTTAAAAATTTTAAGAGTCAACATATATTATAATATTATAATATACGATCTACAGCCACATAATATTGAAAATATGTTCTTAATGATGTTTTCTATTAAGAAAAATGCTGAGGTTATTACTTGACATGTTAAATTGGGAGTTTGTTCGAAATTATCATACGTACTCTTTTTTTTTTTACAAATGAACACGCTGCTTGTACGGATTGGCTGATGAGAAAGCCTTCGCATTTTTTTTTCAAAGAAGTTCCCTAGCCTTCAACCAATCAGAGTGACGAAATGACACTTGCGTAGATTGTTATCATCTGGAGTCATTAGGGAAGGGGATCTATATATTAATATTCGGTTCTCCGGGTTCTCCCCCGTTTTAACAAAGGCTCTCTTTCATCAAATGATGAAACTCGATGGATTAGATCAGTTGATCAGAGCTTTTAATTACTTCCCAGAGTTTTGGAGTTTCTGATTTATTTATGTAAATGATTTTGTGTTGCGCAACAAATCGTCAGATAAGGTAAGGATCTAAGAATTAAGAAAGAATTTTGGAAAAGCTCGTGAAATTTTTTGACCGCCATTAACATTAAACGATTCTGTCAGCAATTGCTGACATTTGGCAGTACTCGTTCGATGTATTTGGTGCAAGCGCAAATTATTCGCTGTATATTTAGATAATACTTAATTATAACATTTATGTTTTAATTAAAAGTTTTAAAATCTGCTATAACGATGCTGTGATAGATTAGATAAATAAAATGAAGGACTTAACGTAATAAATAACTAATTAACAGGAAGTCGATTGTGTATCTTAGAAATGAGAAATGTGAAAATTATAAAAAAAGTGAACAGATTCATTCGAATATTCGTAATACCGAGAGTTCCCGTCTGCCGACGTGTCGGACGTGTTATTGCGTCATCATTTTTGGAAAGTGTGACCGGCTTCAAACGCGCAATTGAGTTTATGTTACTCTTTCAGACTTTCGTATTTTGCATATTGTTTTAGTTACTCACCGCATAAGCGGCATTTTCGATTCTGGCCGTATCGACTCTGTGTTACGAGTCGGGGCCATTTTCACGCGAAGAAGAAGAATATTCGTAATTTAATTCTCATTCCGCCATTATTTAATTGATCAATGTTTAATGAATTTGCTCATTTTTGTAATTTTCACCTCATTTCAAAGTACACAATCGACCTCCTGGAGCCTCCTGGGGATTCAGGAGACACGCCAGGGTCTCAAAGGCACATCAGTGTACATTTTGTATGTCATGTGATGCTCGAACTCGAGAGGCCGCGTTATGGCGGAATGACTCATGGCCGTCCACTATCAATAGTGCGTCTTTATGCTGACGTGTTACGAGCATCTGAGATTATCAGATCTGACTAATGACTGAATCGTTCAAATTTCTAAGTTTTTGTAAAAACAATAAATGAACTCTAAAATTAATGCGATAGCAAATATATCAATATTTAATGTCATACTCGATGTTTATAGGTTAGCTCCGTAGTGGAGTAGCTTGGATTTGTGATACTAATATTTTTCTCCATTATATTAATTTTATGGTTTATTTACTTTGTTTTTACTACTGTTGCAGCAAATTTTAAATATTTGATGTACATATTTTTTGCTTTGAAACAAAGTAGATATTTGTGTTTTAATTTTTTTTAATTGCAATGTATTATTTTTGAAAAAAAAAAAAAGAAATTTTTATCAAGTGTAGCAGGATGAAAATTTGATACATAGAAATGTACTACAGATATAAATAAACATGGTATTTGCTGTGGACAGTTCGACTATCCATTATCTGATGGTTAAGAGGCATATATAGTTGTTAATGTTAATCAATCTTCCAAATGCCTTGATGTTGTCAAATTTGAACGTGTTCTCTTTTTCTAGCTGTTTTGTAACACCTGTGATTGATCATAATTGATACAAAGCAATGGAGCCGAAAATTATTTCGGAAACTGATGTGTTTACACCACGAGCATATCAAATAGATCTATATGAAAGGGCAGTGCAAAACAACATGATACTCTATTTGCCAACTGGCGCAGGAAAAACATATATAGCTGTTATGCTTTTGAAGCATCTAAGTTGTGATGTACGCAAGTATGTAGCTCTTCATGGAAATATTTCTTTTTTTGTGTGATATGATTTGGGTCTTTTTTTAATCATCACAATAGGTACTTGTATTGACATTATGTATACAATGGCTTTAAAAGTTTCTTTTACATTTAGACCTTATCAAGAAGGTGGAAAACGTAGTATATTCGTTGTAAACACAGTAGCATTGGTTGAACAACAATCAACTTACATAAAGAGGCATACAGATCTAAAATGCAAAGGTTATAGTGGAGACATGAAGGTGGATTTTTGGTCGGAACAACAATGGATGACTGAAATAGAAGAGCATGAAGTATGAATTTGCAATATTGTTCATACTAATTTTTTCCTTGAACAATTAATGGGTTACAACAATTTTATATCATCCAGGTTTTAGTAATGACATCGCAAATCTTCTTGAATCTGCTCATTCACAGATATGTAATATTAGATAGAATAAATTTAATCATGTTTGACGAATGTCACAGAGCTGTATCTAACCACCCTATGAGACAAATTATGCAACAATTTGAAAATTGTTCCAACGAAGAGCATCCACATGTTTTAGCTATGTCGGCAACATTGTTGAACGCTAATATAAAAGCAGATAAAATAGAATCTACAATTAAGGTAAAGAATGACATTTTATTATCTTATCAATGATCTCTGCTACACGGCACGCTTAATCGGGTTTAATAACATCTGTAGTTATGAAACTGGCCAATCACAGTCGTTGCATTCTTCTGAGGAACATATATGATTGACCAATTTCATAACTATGAATGTTATTAAGCTCGATTAAGTGTGCCGTATAGCAAGGTTAATAGTAATTACGATCTTTGGACATCTTAACATTATCATTGTTTGTAGACTTTAGAAATAACATTTCATGCGAAGATAGCAACTATAGAATCAACAGATTCTATCCAAGGCTATTGTACAAATCCTAATGAGGAAATCGTCAAATATTCGAAATATCTAGTTCCAGAAGTAGTAAACAAAATTAATGATTTTATCGAAACAACAAAGGAAATTGTCAAAAATATAAAGCTTAATTTTGATGAAATATATAAAGAATCCAGTGAGGAAATGCGACCTAAATCAAAATCTCATAAGCTAATGGCTATTTTAGACGACATAGCAAGGACTTCATTACAAGCAGGTAATTGAATCACTTTTGTGCGTATACTGGAATGGTACAGTAAATTTTGCAATCAATACAGTTATAATTTTTATGTTCTTACACACATAGCTGAAAAGAATGTTTAATCAACAATCAGCATATAAAATATCACTTTTATTGTAGGCATATATTGTGGGAACAAGTCCGCTTTGTTACATTTAATCCAGTTAGAGAGTTTGAGAAAATATTCCGATGATCAAGTATGAATTGATTAAAATTATGATTAAAATATTATT